AAAGAAATGGAAACTCTGAGTTAACATAGAAGGATCCAGTCCTGTTTCCACATTCCAGTGAAGAATTGCGGATTCTGCTACTGAGGCTCTGATCCCTGCAATCATGGGCACTTATTCAGTCTCGGCACAATTAACACTTTTATCTTCCTGTGTCACAAAATTTTCTCAGAGCACTCTTAATGTCCTTGTTCCTCAGACTGTAGATGAAGGGGTTCAGCATGGGGGTGATCACATTGTACATCACTGAGGCTGTTGCAGTAGAGTGTGAGTTTTGAGCAACAGCAGAGCTGAGGTACACACCTAGGCTAGTGCCATAAAATAAGGAGACCACAGAGAGGTGAGATGCACAGGTGGAGAAGGCTTTGTACTTGCCCTGAGCTGATAAAAATGCACGGATGGAGGATACTATTTTGAAGTAAGAGTAAAGGATGCCAATGAGGGGTCCAACAGCCAGCACGAAAGAGGCAACATATATCACCACCTCATTGAGATAGGTGTCAGAGCAGGCACGCTGAATCACCTGGTTAAGTTCACAGAAAAAGTAGGGGATTATTTCCAAGTCTGTGCAAAAGGACAGCCCCAATATCATTAAGCTATGTAACAATGCATGTAGGACACTCACAACCCAGGAAACAAGAACTAGCAATCCACAGAGCCTGTAGTTCATGATGACCATGTAGTGCAGGGGGTGACAGATGGCCATATACGGGTCGTAGGCCATCACAGTCAAAAGTAAGTCATCCAACCCAGCAAAGAGTACAAAAAAGTGAATCTGGGTGATGCAGCCTGCATAGGTAATGGCCTTGCTCTGTGTCTGGATGTTCATCAGCATCTTTGGGACAGTGTTGGAGGTGAAGCAGATGTCTACAAAGGACAGGTTGGAGAGGAAGAAGTACATGGGTGTGTGCAGGTGGGAGTCTGAGATAGTGGCCAGGATGATGAGCAGGTTCCCCAGCACAGTGAACAGGTACATGGACAGGAAAAGGCTAAAGAGAAGGAGCAGGAGTTCTGGATCCTCTGCAAGTCCGAGAAGAAGGAATTCTAAATGTTGAGTRTCATTCCCTGGTTCCAAATGCATTTGACTACCAGAAATTAGAAAAAGAGCATAACTAGTTTTTTAAAGACAGGTATTACTTACATCATTGAAATGAAACAATACATATTTTGCTATAAAAATAATTTTAGTGATGTGTGTGTAGGTCAAGTTGGAATGGTTGCCTAACATATGGAAGGCCCTGGTTACCACCCACGTACCTCAAAAAAAAAATAGAGAAATGCCAAGAGAATGGGGAAAAAATAACTTCTATAGAACATGTGTGGCTCTTGTTCCCTAAGGGATCTTGTGTCACCTCTGAAGAGGAATTCCTGTTTCATTCTGAATGTTTCACTAGGAAGTCATGCATTTAGAATTCTAATAAGAAAGATATTCAGGCCTTTGCGAAGTGTAAATTGAGCACCCCTCCTGAGCACTTTGGTTTTTTCTGTGTTTTGGCTACAGTGAATTGTGCATCAGTCAATGTGGAAGGGCAGATCTCTTCAAAATAMCCATTTCATTTTCTTTGGCCACATACCCAGGAATAGGATTGCTACATGAAGTGATAATAGTATTTTAATTTTGTGGATTCTCAATAATGTTTTCCATAATGGCTTCAATAACTTGCATTCCTACCAACTCCAGGTCAGGATTCTTTTTCTCCCCCCATAATCATAGGCCCTTGATATCCTTGTCTTTTGATAATAGCCCTTCCAACTGMAGTTAGTCCACAGTCTACCATAGTTTTGATTAGCATTTCCCAGATAATTAGCAATTTTGAGCACATTTCCCACAGCTATTGCCCATTTGTATGTGGTACAGATATACAGTGTAATAATAACTGCTATTAATGAAATTATGAGTCTTATCATTGGAGACAACATAGATGAACCTGGGGACATTTATGAAGTCAAATCAGCCAGGTACAGGATCACTATAGCTGCATGATATCATTCCTGTGTGGATTCTGAGAAATTTGATCTCATAGAATGTCAGCATAGCATGATGGTCACCAGAAGCTGAGGTGCATTCTGGGCCCAAAGGGATGAGGAGAAGCTCCTGAAGGGTAAATAATTACAGTAAGAGAAGAGAAATAGCTTCTGGTGATGTATTGCACAGTAGGGTAATTATAGTTAAAAATAACATGTTCCCTATTTTAAAGTAGATAGAGGGGAGGACTTTGTTTGTCACAGAGAAATGATAAATGATTCAGAAAATTAAGCCAATCATACTTGGTCAATTATTATACAATTTATACATGTATGTAGATATAAAGTTATTTTTGTGAACGTGTATAATTATATGTCAATTAAAATAAAGCAATAACTAATTACTGAGTACCAAGTGCGTTCCACTTATTGGATCAGTAATCTGTATGAGTTAAAACACAGAAGTCCACATTATCCCAAGAGAGGGAAAGCACATAAGCAAAATGGTTAAAATCACTTAATATGTCTCATGGCGATGGGTACTAAGAGGAAGAAGAAAGAGCAGAGGTAGTTGTTCTTTTACAGCAATGCAGGGAAAACCAGCAGGAAGAGGGGCATCCAAAGGGAGACCACAAGGAAGGCAGGGCAGGAACCACAAGTCATCCTCAGTGGTGTGGTCTTCATTGGGGGACAGTCAGTGCACAGGTCCTAAGGAACATGCTTGTTTCAAAAAAATGAGGCATAAAAGAAAGCTGTTGGCAAGGAGGAGGAAAAAGGCCAAGAGTGATGAGAAATGGTGTCAGAGAATATTAAAGAATGAGCTGGCCTCACTGCTCTCTGAGGTTACAAGGTACAGGGAGTCCGTAATCCACACCCTGAACCTCTTGCCCTTAGATTTGCTGCAAACACATTCTGTGGGTTGCAAAAGGATTCCCTCCTTGCTACCACCTGAGGATAAGTTCTGGCCTCTAGCTGCTAAGAATCACCCTGGAATATATAACATCTGATCGCCTTTTCTGAGCCCTCCATGAAGCAAACACACTCACTCACACACTCTCATAGCCTGATTTCTGCCATGGCCTCTCTGCCCCAGTCACCCTGACAAGCTTGTGAGCTTCCACAAAACACGATGAGTTTGTCTTTTCTCTGAAGAACGTGGACAGGGTACCTGGAGAGTCCACTTGACACTCTTTCCATGAACAAATGAGTGAACCCACCTAATATGCAAACACAGATATAACAAATTGTGGCATAAAAGTGTATTAATGCAAAAAAATATCAATAAGAGAGCTCATGTATAATAGAATAATTTGTCATGAACATACTTTATATACAGAGTTATGAAAAATTGTCCTGTGAATTGGTAATTATGAATGTAATGCATTCCACTATTGTCATGTATGAAAGAAATTTAAAAAAAAGAATGCTTCTCTTCTTCTCTCTGTTTAAAAAGGAGCATGAAAAGCTGTGCAGTTAACAGAGGGAGAAAGAGAAACAGAATATAATAGGGGGAGTGATAGAAAAGGAGAGAGAAGGCAAAGTGGTGGACAGAACCTGAAGAGGTGAGGGCAGAGACCGAGTGAGCTGATGCGGACAAAGTGGAACAGGACCTTGGAAGCCCGGGTGTCTCTTCTCCAGGAGGAAATGGCTGCCTTGGTCCTGGTAGTATTCCAAACCCAGTGACCCTCACTGAGTGCCCAGCAAAAAYCTTAAGCAGCAAAATACATTTGCCCAAAACACCAAAGTAGTGACATCATTTTCTCAATCTAGATGTTAAGTGTTTTTTCATTATTGCATTGCAGTGATACATAATGTTGGGGTCATTAAATATTTTTAGCTGTAGATGGTCACAATACCTGTATTTTATTTACTTATTTTTTCTGAGAATTGAACCCAGTGCCCACACCTGATAGGCAAGTGCTCTGTCTCTGAGCCGTAGCCCCAGCCCTGTCGGGGTCATTTTGACACAGACTCTTATTCGGGAATCGACTTTGCTCCACTTTTGTCCCCAGTACCTCCCTTTTCCCTCCTCTCCTCCCTCCCACTGTTCTTATTCCTCGTGTCAAGGCACCCAACAGACCATACACTTCAAAAGAAAGAAAATGACCAAAGGTCAAATATCAGCAACTCACACGAGGAGATATCCAAGATATATACAGTAAAGTGGGGAACATTGACTATGAAATAGCAGATTTGTCTCCCTAGTTCTGCCCCTTTCACCTGACATATTGGCTTGTCCCTAGCTATGTTGCAGATAAGGCAGCCTTTTCTCACTATTTTAAAATTATTACAAAATCATTGTGCCTGTTCACTGAGTATATATGTGATCATTCCATATATGTATGTGTTGTGTGATGATCACATCAGGGTAATTAGCCTTTCAATCTCCTTAAGTCCTTACTCTACTTCCTTATSTTTTTACTTTGCTTGTTTTGTGTGTGTCATTTCATGAATGTTCTTGGGTTTGGGGCTTTTAAATTTTTTTTGTGCATGTTAAACATAATAATTATATGATTATGGGGCATATTGTGATGTTTTGATACATGAAAATGTTGCATAATGATCAAAAAGGGTACTAGCAAGAAAATGTAAAAATAAATTGCTAAAGCCTTGGAAATAAAAGATAAGGAAGTAGAGTAAAAAGWTATGATTGAATCTTCCTTATCTATAGAGAAACAAACTCCAATATACTTGTGGATGGTGGATGTAATCTCCAGTAAAATGATGAGGAGCAATGCCTACATTGAATCATGGAAAATCAAGAGGCACAGAGACCTAAGAGAGACATGAAAATAAGTTGGAAATATGTTGAAAAGTTGACTTATTAGTGCAAGGAGTGCAGAATTTTCGTTTAAAGCAAGGATTCACAAGTCAAGAAATATGTGTTGAGTCACATCTTTCAGAATGAAAAACCCTGCCAGGAGCCCAATAACACTGTTCTAGTGAAAAACATTAGAATCTCTAGACTTTCAGAGATTCCCCACAGATACATCTCCACTTATGTGCTGTGCTAATGTAAATGAAACTAAAGACAGCATGCAAAATTAGTAAAAAAAAAAAACCCTAAAGAATAAAAAAATAGAATGAGAGGGAATATACTCAAACCCTAAGCAAAGGGTCTTAACAAATTGAAATAGGTCGACAGCCATCCTGTTGACTTCATCTCAACAGGTTATGAAATACTTGCAATGTAAAACTCTTTGGCATACTCATCTTCACTGATTAAGTTAGTTCATTTTCCATGTGGATACCCAGAGAGGAAGAGGATTCAATGAAATATCTATATCATGATTTTCTCCTGCAGGATTTTATTTATAGAAACTCCTAAATCTAGATCTTTCTCACCAATATGAAAATGGGCTGAAATATGTTGCATTACAATTTTTTTAAATGAGCTCCCTCCAGTGCATGTATCTCCATACTTAATACTGGATTTATCCATTCCCCTTCATTGCAAAGGTAAGCAGACTTACAATTTACTTTATTTGAATCACTTTGTGTCTCCCATCCCTCTTCTAATTGAGATTCTGTTACCATAAGTTAATGGTCAACAGTGACCCCGTGCTGCTGATTTCTTGGTCACTTATCCTTTTTAGTACCTTATAAATAAATTAATAAATTAATTAATCTAGCAACAGACACCACCATCTCTGGGCTGCAGGCCAGGCTGGTTGGGCTCTCAGGGAACCTCAGGTGAATGCTCCTGCCTTCATTCTCTTCAGTCCCCCCCTGCAGTGTCTGCTGGGTCCTCAGGCTCACCTGGGTGGCATCTCTGATGGGAGAGTCTTCATGCACAGGCGTCAGTTCTTCCCTGGATGTTGAAGGTGCAGAGTGAGGCTCTGACCCCAGAAAAGAGAACAGAAATGTGTCCAGCGTTGGACCTCAAGTCATATTTCAAGATCCTGAAAAATCAATGTGCCCCAGGATGTGCACTCAGGGAGACAGGAGCAATCACAGCCTACAGCATTCTGTAACTGCTCATTAGGCACATGTCCTTCTTTTTATGCCAACCTATAAGCACCAGATTTCCCTGCAGGACTTTGGTCTATAATCAGGAAAGGAAGAGTTTGCATAGATTCCCCTGAGATCAGAGTGGAGTGCTAT